GGGGGGGGGGATGGTAACATGAAAAATTGAACCATGCGTAAACTAGCTAGGGTACTTTGAAAATTGAATGTTAGTTGTCAGCTGAAACGCAAGCCAATTCTCACATTCAGTACGATATTTTTGTCAGATGTTTGTTTCAAATTTCTCTTTCATCTTTCGTATTAAGCTATCCAGGGACGCCGGAACTGGGGGGCAGGGGGAGGGCGGCTGCCCCCCTTGCCTTTTGCTAGGGGGCAGGGGGGGGCAGAAGTGCCCTTTTAGTTGTAAAATACAACGTAATAAATCACATTTCCAACGACGCTTTTTGTTGGAAAAGCATGAGATCCAGGCAATTTATAGTTTATATTCGACTTTTGGTATGTCTGGAAAAAATTTTTGACCCCTAAAATGGTACACTGACCGAAATTTTTTGGCGACGGGGGGGGGGCGGGGGAGAGGTCGCCCAAAAATTTCCATTGAAAAAAAATTTCGTGGTAGATTTTGAAGTTTTGCTCTATAGAGGTGCCTTTGGTGTGCGTCCGCCCCCTTTGCCTTATTATCGTTCCGGCGTCCCTGAAGCTATCTGATCAGTTACGGCGGTAAGTTTGTTGTAGGAAAATTGTAAACTGACAACCAACACTGATAAACCAACACAGAAAAAATTGAAATCAGATTAATGAGAACTATGTTGTCATGGTAACGGAACATAAATGTAAATATGGCGGATTGAACTTGTCCCATTTGAGAATGGAGACATTTTCAACTGAAAACGAAGAGAATACCGAATCGAATTCACGAAAACTGCAAGCAGAAAGTTTGCCCAAGTCTTCCCAAGTTTCTGTGGCATCTGAGCAAGGTGATAATGATGGCGTTTTGAGCGACGAACAACTTGAAAGTTTGCTATTGGAAAGAACTGACCATGTATCAAGGTTTCAATTGGGACAGTTTTATTTTGAAAGGAAAATATACGAGAAAGCGTTTGTAGAGTTTGAGAAACTTAAAGATCGCGACGTTCAAGCGTTATATCAGCTGGGTGTGATGTATTATGACGGTTTAGGAGTCCAAGAAAATGGAGTAAGATTTATAATTTTTATGTACAGCGTCTTGCCCAGAATCCGGACAAGAAGTATTATTACCTGATATCCTATCTTTCAACTGATCGCTAATTTAAAACGTTTAAAACTGGCAACCACTGTCTTATACTCCCTATTTTGAAATTTGGTAATTGACACTTTACTGTGTAGATATACCCCTTCAAAAGAGGTTGTTAATAATTAATCTTCTTTATTATTTTACTCTGTCTAATGCTAGGCAATATTACGTACAGGGGAGAGCGCTGGTGCTCAAATAAAGAGCTGCCTGTTTTTAGGATTTAGACAAAAGTATCCTGTGATTCTAGTTTTTACTATCTTGACTGACCTGAGGTGTCTGTATTAAGAGCTGTTTGTAATTTATAGAGAGGTGTCCTTGGGGTGAAGTTTGACTGTTTAGAAATGTTACAATATGCTCTTGTATTATAGGAAAAAGGATTTAAAATTATGGAATCAATCTGCAAGAGTAAAAGGAGGCAAGCTGAGCCTCTGATTCCGTTTGCTCAATACAATGTTGGTCGTGCATACTATGAAGGCAAAGGCGTGAAGCAAAGTGACGATGTTGCTGAACGCTACTGGTTGTTGGCAGCCAAGGGCGGGACTATTGAAGGATCAATAAAGGCACAAAGTATTTTAGGAATGTTTTATTCACGACCAGGAGAGCCAAGTTATGATATTAAGAAGGTTATTACCTTCTTTAATTTGATTTTGTCCAATAATATTTATTTACATGAAAGTATGAAGAAATATGGAATATTAGAGAGTTTAAGCTTGAAGTAACGCGGTTATACGGTAAACGCCAGGCAAAGAAAATTTTATGGTATCAGGTAATAAAGAATAAATGAACTTTCTGTTTTAAAACTGCAATTGCATGACTATTCTTTCGACACAAGAAACTTTGTGAACTAAGAAAGTTCGAACCTGCCGTCTTTGCCGTTCCCGGAAACGCGAAGCTTAAACTCCCTATTGCATAGGATGTACTATTAATATCTGCATCTGCTAATTTGATAAAGGTGGATATCCCCTGGACAAACAATATTTTTAGAGGTTTGACTGACTTAATCTAGTATTAGTGACATCCACAAGCTTTTGTGTAATTAAAATTTAATTACAAATTTAATCAGCCGTCATCCATCACCTGCTTTTCTTGGGTCAAATCATTCAAGCTTTTAGAATTTATTTGAAGGGTGGTTCCTCCATGCTTGCCTGGCCTCACATACAGTAAGTTCCCATTCTTTAAAAGCGACATACTATTTGTACTATATGTGATTTTCAGTTTTTAATATTTCAGTCATATCATTGGCACCAAGAGGCATCTGGGAATGGAAATATTGAATCACAAGGTATAGTAATATTTCTCCAATTGTTCAGGTCCAAATTGTTGGTCTATGTCACACTCGATATTTTTTTAGGCAGAAATTTCAGCACACCTGGGATGTACTTAGTTTATAAAATTTTTTTCAATTTATTTGTTTTTAATGTGTATCTCGCTACTTTTGTGTCCTTGACTGCATCTTAAAATTTCCTGTTGTCCCCCTTTGGTCACCCTAGGGATGCATGATGCCTGCGTCCCCCTTTGCATTTGATCAAAGTTTTTACAACATGTTTTTATCTGTTGAAAACCAGTTCAGGTTTGATGAGAGGAATGGTTTTCAACAAATTTCAGAGAGTTTGGAGTGGTTTGGGGGCACTTTTGAATTTTGAAAAATTTCCAATGGTCTCCCTTTGGTCAGCCTATCATGGATACATGCTAACTATATATTTCAAGCTACTATACAGAACTTCAGCCCAACAGTGTCTATTATGTGGATATTCTATGGACCATAAAATCATTACAGTAATTCTTGTATTTTGCAGGTGCTTTAGGTGTGATGTTTGAATATGGAATTGGAAGTCCACGTGATGTGCAAGCTGCATTTGAGTGTCTGAAAGGCGCAGCAGAGAAAGGAAACGTCTATGCTCAAGGAAATCTTGCCATGCATTATTATCGTCAGAAATTATACAATCAAGCTTTTGAAATTGCTGAGAGGTAAAAATATTTGATGTTGTTTTGTTTGCAGTTTGATAATACTGTACATGTATGTTTTGTTAAATTCCTAAGAATATGCAAAATTCGGTAAAGAAATTATATAGGTATCCCAAACCTTGATGCAATTAGGTTTGAACTTTTGCACAGTATGCTTAAGCCAACCCCCTATTTTGGCTTAATATAAAACATTTGGATTACTTTAGGCAAAAGCCAAGGGTTTTTTTAAAACAAATGGAAAACCATAGAGCACATGCAATTTTGGCTACAATGCATCGTACAATATATGCTTGTTTTGAATATTTGGAAAATAAGTTATATGTACGTGCAAATATTTGAAATATGTTTTTATTTAAAAATCTGCTAGACCTGTTCCCCCCAAATTGCTCTGTTTTCCACTAACATGACAATTACTTTTTACCCCCAGTGTAGCCAAACTTGAAGAAGTGGAAACGATAGCAAAAGTCACAGACTGTCTAGTACTTTATGTTGCTAAAGGAATTGCTCTTGGTTGCTTTGTGTATGCTAGATGTCTGTACAAAGGATACGGAGTAGAGAAAAACGAAGAAAAGGCCATTAACTGGTTCAAACGGGTGAGTTAAGCTAGTTTCCATTTGGTCGTTAGTTGTCGCTGGCACGACAAGTGGCTGATCTAATAGAGTGTCAACAAAAAACTCTGTAATCATTAAGACTGATTTGCATATCACACAAAAAGACTATCTACTGCTTGTCATGCCAGCGACAACTAACGACCAAATGGAAACTAGGCTTTATGCTACTCTATGGTTAATCCTAACTCTAGGCACGACAACTAACGACCAAATGGAAACTAGGCTTTATGCTACTCCATGGTTAATCCTAACTCTAATCCTGGAATTAACTCCATGGTTAACCACCCTAACCCTAGGGGTGAACACAGCATTGCTAGGTAAGCAAACTACCCAGACCACGCCCAAAAGAACATTATTGGTGGCAGAAGAAAGGAGGGTCAGTCATTTTAAGTTTTTTTGGGTTTTTTTTTTCATTTTTTAATTTCTTACCCCAACTATCATAAAAGGATCGATCATAAGAACGACAACACGTAAGTCCCTAACTAAATCCTACCAAAACACTACAAGACAAAGATTACATTGTACATATACAAAACGATATTGAACAATTAATTGGCTTGCTCGAGGGTTAAATTCAAACTAATGAACTATTCTCCCCTTATTTAGGCATATAAGTTTGATCCTGAAACAGTCGCTCGTTTTCAAGATGACATGACCTATGGTTATATTTAATAATCTTATGATGAATATATGTAATTTGTGAGGGTGTTTAGTGTTGCGGTTTAAATATAGCAAGACTCACCATGGACATCATTCAGAAGAGAAGAAAATACTAGACCTTCAATTTTTATTTTTGACTTTGCTGAGTAATATACATATTTCAATATTTAATCGTAAGATATTATCTCGACTAAACCACTAACTTTTCGTCCACAAAAAAATAAACGCTAACCTTCAAACTTTTTGTCGACTGAAACGCTAAAGCCTTTGCTCCGTTTTTGTCACTTTTCATAATCCTCAAAAGGGGTGAACCTTCACTTTTTGGCCGTTTTTAGCCTCTTTCAAAATTGAAAATGGACGAAAAGTTAAGGCGATAAACCTTAACTTTTTTTTAACGAAAAGTTAAGGCGATAGCCTTACTTTTTTGCCATTTTCACCCCATTTTCACAAAATGAGAAAAGTTGCTAAAAATGTACGAAAAGTTAAGGGCATACCACACTTAGTTAGCCTTTATTTTTTGGGGACCCTTTCAAATGTGGCGGAAGATTCACACGGAAAATATTAAATCTATTAAACAATATTGAATAAACGAAAATTTCGCTATTTATTACATTTTTCATGAGCTATTTACACGATACAAATTGTACTTAATATATTACAATTTTTATTAGTTCAATTTTGGTCTGCTTCCATATCGTGTACGTACATAAAGCTCGGTGTTTTTCAGCATTCAGACAGGACATTGTGAATTAAAACGGTTTTTAACTCGATACGAGAGAACCACAAGTATCTTGAACTTTGGATTCGATGAAAATCTAAAAAAACGTGAAAAAGTGTTCAGTGTGCGAATTTAAATATTTGGGGGACCCACCCACGATATATATAATCATCCTATTAGAGACGGAAAGACTACAGAACGTTTTCCAGTTTTTATTTAGATTCAAACATTTATCTATACAGGTTTTAGAAAGTTTACATAATATATCTAAATCTTTTGTAAAGTTTCGAACACATCGTGGAATTTCAACTTGTTCCAAGTCACCATTGTCAAGAAACACGTACAAGCTTCTTGAACTTCTATATTCTGAGAATCGACTGAAAATCTAAAGAAAAACTAGAAATGTTAATATGCGAATTTAAATAATTGGGGCACTAGTACTAATATACTACAAATTAGAGAGGACAAGACTAGACAAAGTTTTAGAGTTTTTATTGATGTTTAACAGACATTTAGCTATTACAAGTCTCAGAAAACTGAGTAACTTTCCTGGTTTGATTCAGTCAGGAGGACATCATGAATTAGATCGTCTTTCAAGTTGAAATCCATGAATATCTGAGACCTTCATTCAACAATGATTCACTATTACAACTTTTTACAAATTATATTACAAGTTTAACAAAATGGTAATCTTGGATATGTTGAATTGAAAATGTCTTTTCACATGATATCTTCTGAATACTGTATTCGGTCGAAGTCTATAACAAACTAGAGAAAATGTTTAGTGTGAGAATTTAAAATAGTTGTGTGGACCCACCCTTAATACTAATCCGATCAAATAGAGAAGAAAAGAATATAGACCAAAGTTTTAGAGTTTTTATTGACGTTCAACAAACATTTAACTATTATACAGTTGAGAAATTTCGGTAATCTTACAGATCTTGAAGTTCTTATTTCGTTCAGCCTGGAAAGGAGGACATCATGAATTGAATCTTTAAGTCGATATACGTTAAGATTTTTAGACCTGTATTCAACAATGACTCGCTAGTACAAGCTTAATATAGTTTTACATGCAAGCTATTACAAGTTCAAAATGAAAGGCATAGTCTTCAATATCATGAATTGAAATGTCTTTCACGTGATATTCTGTGACATTTCCTTGATCGTCTGAATTCTGTATTCGATTGAAGTCTACAAAAACTAGAAAAAAAAGTTTAGTGCACGAATTTAACTAGATGGGGGACCCACCCAACACGAATCCTATCAATTAAAGAAGAAAAGACTATAGACCAAAGTTTTCCAGCTTTTATTGATGTTCAAAAAACATTTAGCTATTACAAGTTTAAAAAAATGTTTCAATTCTGTATTCGATTGAAGTCTACAAAAAACTAGAAAAAAATGTTTAGTGTGTGAATTTAACTAGATGGGGGACCCACCCTTAATACGAATCCTATCAATTAAAGAAGAAAAGACTATAGACAAAAGTTTTCCAGCTTTTATTGATGTTCAACAAACATTTAGCTATTACAAGTTTGAAAAAATTCAATAGTCTTGTAGATCGTAAACTTTCAGGATGCGACATCATGAATTAAATTGTCATATTGAAGTCAAGATCCACGAAGGCATTTTAAGACTAATTATTCATTCAACATTGATTCGCTTTTTACAAGTTTAATAATTTTACAATTAACTCTTTTCACTTTATATCTTCTGAATTCTGTATTCGATAAAGTCTGCAAGAAAACTTGAAAAATGTTTAGTGGGTCAATTTGAATAGATGGGGACCCCACACACTTAATACTAATCCTATCAATTAGAGAAGAAAAAAACAGACCAAAGTTTTCCAGCTTTTATTGATGTTCAACAAACATTTAACTATATACAAGTTTTAGAAACTTCATGCAGTAGTCTTCCATCTCGTGGAAATCATGAAATAATATTCTCTTTCAAGTCGATATCCGTGAATATTTTTAGATTTTCATTCAACAATGATTCGCTTTTACAAGTTTATTAGTTTTGCATGCTGTATTACAAGTTTAATTATAGCAAAATGAAATATCATGAATTGTAACATCTTTATACTCTTGATAGCCTTGAACACTGCCTTGTATAATTCCTGCAGATCGGCATTCGATTTAACTAAAAAGAACTTGAAAAATTGTTTAGTGTGCGAATTTAAATAGTTGGGGGAGCCATGCCCCTTAATGCTAATTCCTACGAGTTAGAGAAGGAGAGACTGCACCAAAATTTTTGAGCTTTTATTGTCGCTGTTCAACACAAATATATAGCTATTACAATTTTGCCTTTGATTATTCGGAAGAAAATTAGAGTAGGCATACACAACTTAGTATATTTACACAGGTTTAAACTGACATTATTGACAATTAACTATATTACAAGTTGTTAAACTGATATAGTCTATTTTCCATATCATGCAAAACGTCTAGTCTTGAATTCGATTTTTATCACTAGCTATCCAGATTGTTGTGGACTCCTGAATTCTGCAGTCGATGAAAACCTATAAAACCTCTTCAAATATATTTAGTGTACGAATTTACTTTTCAGCCCCCTGCAGTCTTATTTGTCATGAAGATAAAAACAACATGTAAACAACAGGATTTGTTCTTTCATTTTTATTGAAAATATTTACCTATTTACAAGTTATAGTAAACTGCATATACAGTATAGTTTGCAAGCACGGTATAGTAACAATGACCGGACAACAGTCTATACTTTTATATTAGAAATTTAACATTTAATTATATAGTCCGAATTCTAAATTCATAAATATAAAATTTGACAAATATGATGCCAAATCTCCATCATTTACAACCTTGTTTGTTTTAAAATAATCCTAAAGAAATTTAATTTGACAAATATGATGCCAAATTTACTTTTTTTTTTTAATAACTTTATATTCATGAATTCTGCATTTTCTTAAAAAATTAAATTTGACAAATATGATGCCAAATTTTAAAGTTTTTTTCAATGATTTTATATGCATTTATAATTCTGAATTTTCTTTAAAAAATGAAATTTGACAAATATGATGCCAAATTTGAAAGTTTTTTAAGCAATTTTGTATACATCTATAATTCTAAATTTTCTTAAAAAATAAAATTTGACAAATATGATGCCAAATTTAACTGTTTTTTAATGATTTTATATACATCTATAATTATGAATTTTCTTAAAAAATAAAATTTGACAAATATGATGCCAAATTTGAAAGTTTTTTAATGATTTTATATGCATCTATAATTATGAATTTCCTTAAAAAATAAAATTTGACAAATATGATGCCAAATTTGAAAGTTTTTTAATGATTTTATATGCATCTATAATTATGAATTTCCTTAAAAAATAAAATTTGACAAATATGATGCCAAATTTGAAAGTTTTTTAATGATTTTATATGCATCTATAATTATGAATTTTCTTCAAAAATGAAATTTGACAAATATGATGCCAAATTTGAAAGTTTTTTAAGCGATTTTATATGCATCTATAATTCTAAATATTCTTAAAAAATAAAATTTGACAAATATGATGCCAAATTTGAAAGTTTTTTAAACGATTTTATATATGCATCTATAATTCTGAATTTTCTTAAAAAATAAAATTTGACAAATATGATGCCAAATTTGAGAGTTTGATGATATATTTTTTCTTGCTTTGCAGAATAAAACATTAAAAGTATATATAGTTTTCAAAAGAAATCAAATTTTACAAACATGATGCCAAATTATATTGTATCAATTAACATTATTTTATTGGAAAAATCAGTGATATATTTATATCAACCCAACTGTATATTCCTGTATTAACCTATAACTCATGATTGTCATAGATATAAAGGGAACCCCTGTTTTGTCACCGAATCTTATCGCGCACCGAATTTGACCGAAAAATTCCGAACTGTAACCATGCATATATATGAAAATAACACATCATAATAAACATACGGCACTCGATCATTTGAAGCACACAACACACTTTAAATTAATTCCCTGGTGGTCTGTACTTTTTTCATTTCAAAGATTTTTACAAGAAAATATTTCATGCATTTTACTCAATTTTCCAATGAACTGTCTTCAGGTTTCCTATAACGCATGCAACTGTACCGAGACACGTTCACTGCGCATGCACAAATCCGAAACAAGAAAATGGCGTTAAACTGGTAACCACCAGGGCTACACTACTCTAACCTTACGACGTCTTCATTCTTCTGGATGAGACACCGATACTCATCCTTCCATTGCAGAGACTGTAATAATAATCCATAATCCACAATAATGAGGTATAATAATCCACAATGATGTACATAATTATCCACAATGATATAATATAATCCACAATGTAATGATCCAAGGTGACAAATCCAAGAACACATCCAGCGTTGACAAAAATAAAAAGTCCTATTGCGGAAAAGGGTGGGCACTGACTATGCGTTTATTTCACGCTTGAGTCCTAACCTAACTTAACCTAAGTTTATTTTGTGCAGGTCCTTATAACTGGAACTCTAAGGAGAGCTTAGATCTTGTAATCCTAAGTGTTTATCAAGCAAGATGAGCAGGACTCTCTCAACTCCTCGTGTAAACACGCTAATACATGCACCGTGAAATACTTCATTCAACTCTCCTGACTTTGGTAGACAGAGGCATAATATATCAGGTAAAAGCTAAAGTATCCTGTCCTATACCCCCACTACTAGCAAGGGTTTATCAGAATTCCCAAATTTTATGCCGGTCCAATTTTTTTCAGTGCGAGGTTTTTATGCTCGCTTCCGTAGTGTACAGTACTTTGAGAAAAAAGAAATAGGTCTGTTTATGCACGTAGACCATCAGTGTTTATATATATCGAGAGTGAAATGTTTCATGTAACACATCTCACTTGGTATACATGCTGAAAGCCCATGCATTCGAGGGTTGAATTTGGCCCAAAAGTTGAACGAAATATTTCGGCATGCAATGGCGTATTTACCTAAGTATCTAAGATCATGCGTCCTGATGACGACTATGCATGTAAAAAATGGGGAATAAAATAAAAAGTGCAGAGTAAAAATTTTACTTGACCGCCCAATGCGGGTTTACCACCTGATGCGGTAAGGGCCAGGTTGAGGCCTGATGAACAGTGCGATCTGAAATGGAAAAAAATAAAAATTAATAAATATTGAATCACACTTAAGGTGGTTAAAACCAGAAAAATGATTGGATAGCAGTAAAGTCTCTTTAGAAATCATCTTAGTTTTGTTGTTAAAAGCGCGTTATTTTTCACCTGGGAATTTAATTAAATACTCCTTGCTCTGTAGTCAGTGATTTCTAAAGGATCACTTTTTGTACACTCTGCACATGTAAGGTTTCTGGTATTGTATGGGAATTGAGAAGCTATAAGACAAATATCTTCAAACGTCGGCCGAGCCGAGGGTAATCTTAAAGTCACATAAGTTTAACGAAACATTAACTTCGTTAAACTTGAGCTCTCAAAAACTCTTCAAATCATTGTTTTTTCGTATGCATGCGAATTGAAAATATGCTACAGTGAACTTTCGGGTTTACCGTTATTGCTCTCAAATGTTCCTTATAATTCAAGAATACATGCCTTCGAGAATTTGTTTCAATTTTGTCTGGCCAATGCAGTCAATTTTATGTTGATACTGCGAAATGTTCTTAATCTATCGCAAACATTTGAAATTTTGCCAGTTTAATAGGCGAATCAGCCATGCATATATTTTCTCGATAATTATTAAGACAAACTAGTGCGTATAAACTTTCAGCAGAATACTCGCAGTCGAAATTCTATTGCTTTTTACCAAGAACTCGCTTAGGAAGACTCTTAACTACATTCTAAAGCTGATTAAAATCAATTAGAACAGAAATAAAGCAACATTAAAAGTCATTTTTCACACGTGCTATAGCGAGTCTGCAACTTCGCTCAAACAATGCTCGTGAATTGAGCGAATTTTTAACCTTAAAACTCGATAAAAATTACGGAAGGAGAAGCTAAAGTCTTTTCAGAACCTAGCTAAACAACGCTAAAGTGTAAATTCAATGCTTGGGAGGCATATACGCTCACCATTTGACTTCGTCTTGGCCAAGTTCGCTACTTTGGCACAAAATTCAATACTAAATATATTGACAACAAGTACAACTAATTTCAAGTGAAACAGGATTATACCTTGTTGAGATCGACTTTCGAGCAGCACCAAAGACGAAGACAATCAAGAATTGTTGAAGATAAATGTCCATGTTACTTTAGTTTATTTCAAAATCCACCAGAGCAAAATAATAGACGTGTGTATCTTTTGACTGCAACAACCCATATGGCAGTCGATTCTGAGTGAAGTAATTTTCCACCCAGAAAACACGCGGTGGGCGTGTGGCTAATTCTGGCTCCTTATTGGCTATACGTATGATGCTAATTGGTCGATTTGAAACACAGTTCTGATTGGATAAAATTTTGGAATGCTTATTGGCGCATTCTTTGTGCGTCCTTTGGGAATTGGCGCTTTTATTCATTGGCTCAAGAATAAATAAACCTAATTATTATATATCAATAGTCAAAGTCGCATTTTTCTAGTGTTTTATTGGTTGAGAGCATATCACGTGAGAGTGACGAAATTAGGCTGTCTCCCTCGCAACAGCGCGAGAGGGAGATAATACGTTATCCACCGGCGAATAACAAAAAAAATCACGTGCGCCATCACGTGAAGGTGCGACCTTTGGACATGCCTAGTACGTAATTAAAACTTTCGCTTCTTATAACTGCAGTGTAGCCAGTGTTTAATATAACGTTTTAACAATAAAATATTTCATGTATTTACGTTCATTTGTTCTTTAATTTGTTGTTTCTTTGACTATTGATATATAATAAAACACTTATTTACTGAGACCTCGGGAAAGCAGTGTGTTTTTTGAACCCTCGACCGTCGATGTTTCCCTCGGCTTCGCCTCGGGAAACATCGACGGTCTCGGGTCCACAAAACACACTATTTCCCTCGGTCTCAGTAAATAAGTGATAATTATTTACGCACAATTTCAAACAAACATATACAGCTATTTCAATTTTAAGGCCGTTTTCCACTAGGCGGAATTTTCCTCTTTCTAATTAGTTCCACCCGAGAAATCACAAATGAAAAACGGCCTTAAGGTTCTCCCGGAGCAAAGTGGAAAAGTCGAATACGAGCGCGGAAGCTTGCTGGTCGTGGAAATCGCTAACTGAAAATTAATGAATTTATTAGCAATTCCAAGCAAGCCTTTCGCCTCTTATTCGACTTTACCGCTTTGCTCGGGGACAACCTTAATTGAAATAGCTGTGTCCAGGATGTATAAAAAAAGATGATCTCGGGTTCGGATTATATGGTTAGGGTTAGTAACCCATGCATGTTAGGTAACCAATATTGATGGGAGATGGGATGGAGGAAGATTGTTGTAAATTAATTAAAAGAACGCATTCCTTTGGAATACATTTGAGAAATGAACAGATCATAGAGTCAATAAACAAGTCTGAACACAAAAATCTAACGGTTTAATGCATGTATTCCAGAACAATTCTAAAACATCAAAATCAAAAATAACAATAGTCCCATGATTAATCCTGTATTTTAAATACTTTAAAGCAGCAGTAGAAAGTTCGTTTTCAATGGTTGTCCATGATTTCTTTAAAACAGATTAGAACGTATTTTCATCTCTGTCTTTTTCATAACATAAGATTGCCAAGTACCCCATCTCATTCCGGTACCACTTGTCTGACCTGCTCCCAGGTACAGACCATTGAGGTTGGAATGATGACAGCTACGGTACCACCAAGCTCCTTTATAGTCGGTAGCACAATGACTGCTATCAACATCATTGTCACTATCCTTGGCAGAAAACTGCATTTGATTGTGATAATCAAGGGAATCACTTGCGTCACCTTTTAAGAAAAAAATTAACAAAATCATATACGTGATAAGTAACATTTCAAAAAAGTATAATAAATTTCAGTCTATGTTTTACAGTATTTTACTCTATTAATTCACCAGACAATTTCACTTTTTAAGAAAAATTGAGAAAAATGGTTAAAAACGTCAAAACTCCTTTGTAACTCTTTGTAACCAAACTGGGTTTTTTATGAGGTTAACTTCCCTACTCAATATGGCATATTTGAGAATGATGACATTTTATAACTCCTTCATACCAGTGTTGTTTAATTTCGAAACATATTAATTATTTAACTATATTCGGTTGTTTCCGATTGCCAAAATGTTTTAATCTTCCGCAAGACACTTTAGTGTATAAAAACTTTACGTTTCACATTTTTTAAGTATAGTATTAGTCATATAAAACTTATAGGTATGTTTCATTGTCTGGATAGTCTAAATTTACCTGAATAACTGGCAACGTTCAATCTATATTTGTCATTTTCATCAGCCACACTGAATGTTCCGTATTTAGCATAACGTTGAGCGTCATTGAAATCCATCAAATCAATTCTTAAAACATCTTGGCCAGATTTGGACAAACGATATATTTTGTCCAACCCCAACCAGAACTCGTCATCCAAGTCACCAAAGCCAGCTTTATAATCTGACCATCCAAGATAAAAATCCTCACTTCCATCCTGTCTTCTTTGGAAGACCGTCCATCCACCTCCGTCTCTCGTCATATCGCATCTGACTGGGAATGGTCCCATGCCATCAGGATCAATGGTGTAGACACCATCTTATCTCACTCCAGATTTATAGAGATCAGCGCAACTACTTGGAATAACTATGTAAGAAAAAACCCAGAAAGGAGAGGAGGTTTTACAAAGATTTGAATGTTTATCGTCATATTGAAATATTTTTATTTCTTTATTGGAGTAAGTTCTCCGAACGTTGAATGGCAATGTCAGTCTTTGCTTCATATTATTTCACGTCCGTGGCTCTCTATATATCTTATAGATACAATCCTACTATACATTTAATACATATAGACCGTTCCATATCTCACCTGTGCAGTTCATACCATCGCCCATATACCCCGAGTCACAAGTGCAAGAAAACGAGCCAAAAGTATTGTTGCAAATTGCATTGACGTCACATTGTTGATAAACACATTCATCGATATCTGAAATTGAATCAATATCATATTTTTTGTCCAATACTATTTATTATAATTTTATCTGCTTTTCTCAAATCAAAAGGTTGAAACGCGACCAACAATAAACGTTTTCGACTAGTACCTGTACATTCCAGTCCTGAACCTGTAAAACCAGTTTTGCAAGTGCACGTGAAGGAATCAGAATGGCTGACACAAATAGCATTGGGGTGACATGGATTGGACTGACAATGATCCATCTCTATAAAAAATAATAAAAGTTCTAGTTAAAATTAAATTTTTTCACGTAATGCAATTCATGCAACAATTACAAACATAAAACGCGCAATTAAAAACTCTGTATTAAACATATTACTTTAAAGCAATGAAAAGAAAAAGGGATAAACAAAAAGAAACAGTGTATAAAAATCTCGATATTTTACCTTGGTTTGGACACAGCGTTTTGTAAGAGAGTTTATGCTTGCGGAGATCTTGTTCTATAACACGACAGCAATTCCCCAGGTGTGGATCACCTTTGCCACATAATACGTTGTAAGCAACGGTTCGGTTTTCAATATCAGATCTGATATCATCACAACAAATTGCTTCTGCAATACCAGTTTGCAGAACAAGCTGCAATAAAATTCCCACTACAGCGATTCTCAGCATTGTTTAGTCTCGATAGTCTTTAGTGTTCCAACTTCAGTAGAAACCAGCTCGAACTGACGAGGTAGGTTTAAGAGCTGGTCATTTTATGCAAGAGGTGCATGGCAAAAAGGAAGTGATCTTTGCTCTCAAAATCAGATGTTCCTACTTCCTTGTAAGGTATTAAACAAATCTTGTGAAATTTAGACAAACATTTTCGAAACAGAAATAACTTCATGTGATTCCAAGACAAACCAAGCTATCAACCGTGCATAAATATTATGTTGTAAACATTTAATTACTGGTTAGAACAGCACGACTTGGAATAACAAACAAAAATAAGACAAGTAGGCACTTAAATTAGGCTTCGTAATGAACAAAAATTGTAACTTAGAAATACATTTTGCAAAGTTCAATACAAAATAAACTTCAGAATCACACTAGAATTATACTGTCTCATAGATTATTTCCCAGAATTATTGGAGCGTACTAATACCTTTTACACACCAACTGAATGGCCTCGACTTAATCACTACATGGGTATACGGTATAGTATCTGCTTTAAGTTTTCTTACAAATTTCTATTCATAACAAAAGTAGTCGGGTTTTGCAAGGAACATTAATTTACACATTCTAATATATCATTCCAGAAAGTAATCATCTTGTGGATACAGAGCCTCGCTTTCGTGCTTGGGACATTGGTTTTAGAGCTTCTATCGGGTGACCTCAAACCAGCGTCATGGGGTAGACAGTAAAAAGTGAGGTTTTCAAAGAGAGGCAACATAGTAGATTACAAAATAATCAAAGTTTAAAGCTGTTATTTGCAAGCTACCTTAATTGCGACTCATATGAGTGAAGTAATTATTATCAAAGTCATCTACAGACTACACTGTCTGATTTTGTAAATATATTAATACGAGATAAAAGCATATAAGTCTCAGCTAAAGTCTCAATTATCATGAAAACGAGGCTATTTATTTTCCTGATGGGAATATTTTATTATTAAGCCAGATTGATCTACTAAAATTGTGCAACATCATACACTTCTCGACTTGCATAGTAATATCAAAACTTCTTCACACAAAATATCGATTTGACTCTAAAAATTTCGGTGAAAAGCTCAGGCGACTGAGTTACTGAAACCAGTTGCTACGAGGTAGCTACAAGTTCCTGTAAATATGGAGAGCGATGGTTAATGTAAATGTCTTTGAAAGTGAATATTTTAGGGTGTTCAAAGTAAAGTGTGTGAAGTTTAATCATGCAGGAGACGTTTAAAGTGATCTAAAACATCGAGAAGTATATTCAATTCTGAGTAGAAATCAGCTGGAATTGACTAGTTTAAGAGCTGGTCATTTTATGCAAGAGGTGTGGCCAAAAAGAAGTTAACTTTGCTCTCAAAGTCTGATGCATCTACTTCCTTAAATGTGTTGAACAAAGTTTGTGAATTTTGGTCAAACATTTTCAAAACAGAAATAACTTCATTTGATTTCTCGGCACTCAAGCCATCAACCGTGCATAAATATTATGTTCCAGCGCAAACATTTAACTGCTGGTTAGGAAAACAGGACTTGCAAACAGCCGAGAATAAGACAGTAGGCACTTCAGACAATAGTAATTACACAATAGTATCTCAGGTTTCGTAATAAACAAAAATAAAATTTATAGACTTAGCTTGCAGATTTCGATGGCAAAATAACCCCAAAATTGTACCGATCATGCAGATTATAAGCTATATGTAGTGTTTCGTAGATTATTTAGTTCCAGAACTAGTGGAACGTGCTATTATACACACATGGGCAGCCTTGATTCAATTATTTTTATAGTGATTTTTTTAAATCTGCGAAACTACGGATATGAAACCCACAAGTTTTATAAACACTTTTAACTTATAAATACTAAACTTTAATATGAGTTACTGTATACTGTACGAATCAACGACTGATTTAACAAAGATTGAAAAAATCACTATCCGGTGGATAGCACTATCCAGCTTTCGTACAACCCACCACTGGTGATAAAATAGAAAACACTAAATTATTATACTGAAAACTCCGAGGTAAGTATAAAATTTCAAAACAGTACCTGTGTAGTGTTCTAAAATTTTATACTTATCTCGGAGTTTTGTTCATTCCTTTCTTAAAGGTAACGTGCAGGTAATCCCTTTTTGTTCATGACAATCAGATACAGTTCTCGACCATGGATAACAACGATGCATGCATGGAATGGCGATAATTATGCCATGCAGTTCAAAGGCGGTGGGGTGGTCTGTACTTTGGAGCAGATAGGAATGATGGCACCGGAATTGCATGGTATGACTAGCAAACATGTGTGTTCTACTACTGTTTGTATCAGTACAGAATTAAATGGGACTGTTTGCATGTTTCAAGGTAATATTAAATAATTTTGAATATTAATTGTTTATCTACTCCTTCATCTCGCAATCGTTTCTCAATTGTGGAAAATACACAAAATAAAAGTCTTTGACCTTCGTTTACTCAAAAATACCACGGGTATTTGATTTGTGCCATGATAAAATTAATATTAGAACATTTCAACAGAACATTGACCGACTCTTTTCACATGCATGTCTTGAGTTGGAATGAATGTCGAAGCCACGACCCCTATGATGTCACAAGATTGGATAAATTGCAACATAGTTTGTCTTTCAGCTGTCACTTGCTGCTCAATTTCATCCAATCACATGAGGCCAACTTTGCCTGTTGCACCTAATGAAAAACATCAAAACTTTATTGCATTTCTTCTTACATTTACACAACAGAGTAAATACGACAATACTCACAATTTCGGCATGATCTTCACATCTCATTTCATTTCGTCTCATATTGAATGTCATAAAAACATTTCATCAAAGTAATCATCAAATTCCTCTTCTCTGGATAAAGAAATATACAGCTTGTATTTATAATCAGTTTCAGACGTTCTTTGTAAAATCATGAATAATTAATAAGCTATATCCATCAAATCAAATGCCAAACATTGGGTCACATGATGTAATCCCCATACAAATGAATAACGAACATAAAAATTAATTACAAGCACTAGTGGTCCACTAAAATTTGGTTCATTTCACAATTTTTGTGCAGATATCACATTACTCTTTAAAATAAATATTTACAGCCAGATGATGTATAATAAAAATAGCTAAGTGTTTAGACATAATTCCAGAAAAATATCCTTTCAAAACCTCTCAAGAGTTCTTAAGAATGTCTTTACCGCGGATGTAGTGACGTATGAGTTCTACGAGTGTTTTAGTTTCCAGTAAAACACCATTGACCATACAATAAATAATAGCTTTTCTTTGAGAAAATAACACGCTGACTGACTAAACTAGTCAAGTAACCGAGGTAGGCCTAGACTTGTAGTGTATACACGGGCAGAACATTTGCCAGTTTTAATATATTTAGATAAGAAGTGTTTCAACGTGACAATACGTATGTATTGAAATGCAAGATGTGCAAATAAAGTCAAACCGAAACAGGTTGTGGTGAAACAAGAATGAAGGTTTTGTGTTATAGATTCATGTCTCGCTCCTTATGAATGCTCATCCTAATCCTGACCCTAACCGCTGACCCTAAATCATAAACCGTGAGACATGTATCTATATACGATTTTGGTTTATGTATTCTAAATAATCCTGTGAAACATTCCCCATGTGCCCCGCAAGGTGTATTCCTACAGTAATCATAAACCAAATCCCACACCAGGACATTCAAATTCAAACCTTGCATTTTGTATGAAGCAGGAGAGTAGTAAATTTCTTCCCTGAATTTGCTTTGGAGTGATATTGAGTGATAGCCGTAAATATATTTTAATTTTACTAATTCATTAATTAAATAATCTGTCAGTTTATGTCACTTTACCTTGTTTTTTCAACAGCAGTTGTCACAGGTTTTTCCCAAACATCAGTAGCAGAGACTGACTCCTTCGATGTGGCAATTTTCTCATCGCCTTGTCTCTCTTTGCTCTCTTCCAACAGAAATGTAGAGGGTGAATTATGTATGAACAACAGTTTAAATACTGAGATTTCTTACCTTAAACTATTCCTAATCCTTACAAACCTAATTCAGATCCTAATCCTAACTAACATCATTATACTAATTTAATCCGACTTAACCAGATGTGGTTGGGGGGGGGTGACCGTGCCCATCGACAATCAATCATAATGATTATCATAACAATAATCTTGCGTTACAAGTTGCAAAAATCGTCTCTGGTGTAAGACAGCCCGAATTATCGTTTTATAAAGTACATAACGAGCAGTGTACTTGTCTTGGAAGATTGGCCGCTGTTTGAATCAGAATCTTCACTTTCCTCGTCAGATTTCCTCCTTCGTTTTGACTTCTTATGTTTCTTTTCTTTATGAGACTTTCTTTTTACAGCTTTCTTTCTAAGATTTCAAAAATATTACTTTAAGGGGAGCACGGATGACAGATGTGGTTACCATGCTGTCTCTTATCGCTACGTTAAGCCTGCTGGCTGCTACTATAAGTCGAGGGTAAGAGATAGGTCGGGGAACTGCCCTATGCTTATGGAAAAAGATATTGATCAATTTTCTAACTTACTTGTGATGATAGTTTAGTTTCAACGAGCAATCCGGACACAGCCCTGAAATACAATTAATGATAAAAAGGTTATTCCAGCAACATGTAACAAGTCTGCACGTAACAAATTGTTAACAAGTTGATGACAACAAGCTCGTAGCAACTTGTGACAAACAGCTTCTATCAGTGTTGTTGGAACAACTTGTTGCAAGCCTGTTACTGCCATCAACCTTGTAACAAGGTGATAACAACTTGTTCCAGACTTGTCACAACAACTGGGAAAAAGCAGTACGAACACATCCTGATATCGGCTTGATTGTTGTCAACCTCTTGCAGACCTTGTTACAAGTTGTTTCAGACTTGTCACAACAACTGGGAAAAAGCAGTATGAACACATCCTGATATCGACTTGATTGTTGTCAACCTCTTGCAGACCTTGTTACAAGTTGTTTCAGACTTGTCACAACAACTGGGAAAAAGCAGTATGAACACATCCTGATATCGACTTGATTGTTGTCAACCTCTTGCAGACCTTGTTACAAGTTGTTTCAGACTTGTCACAACAACTGGGAAAAAGCAGTATGAACACATCCTGATATCGACTTGATTGTTGTCAACCTCTTGCAGACCTTGTTACAAGTTGTTTCAGACTTGTCACAACAACTGGGAAAAAGCAGTATGAACACATCCTGATATCGACTTGATTGTTGTCAACCTCTTGCAGACCTTGTTACAACTTGTTTCAGACTTGTCACAACAACTGGGAAAAAGCAGTATGAACACATCCTGATATCGACTTGATTGTTGTCAACCTCTTGCAGACTTTGTTACAACTTGTTTCAGACTTGTCACAACAACTGGGAAAAAGCAGTGCGAACACATCCTGATATCGGCTTGATTGTTGTCAACCTCTTCAACTTGTTCCAGACTTGTCACAACAACTGGGAAAAAGCAGTGCGAACACATCCTGATATCGGCTTGATTGTTGTCAACCTCTTGCAGACTTTGTTACAACTTGTTTGCAGATCTGAAACAACTTCCGCAAACTTAAAGGGGAAATGTCACCGATTTTTGACCTAAAATGCCTTTTATTCAAAAACTGAACTACAAAGTTAAAACTAAACATTGTAAATGGATTAAGTTATGATATACGAGTCATATTAAACAACTTTGAACGTACACGCAACATGTAACACGACATTTTCATAAAAATTGACTAAAACTTGAAAAAGTGTCTGCCAACAATTAATCAAGATGCCATTTACAATCCATCTCAATCCTAGCGTAATCTTGCCCATCCAGACTTCTGTACATGTTTTTTGTGTCTGTTATTGCTTTATTTTGTGCTTGCACTCATTCTTTTTCAGTTTTGGGCAAAATTTGCAAGGGTTAGAATTGCTCAAAAATCGGTGACATTGCCCCTTTAAGTCTAGTTTCCACTCAGGAAAATTATCCGTGCATTGGAACGGACAAGAAAATTTTTCTTTGTGTTAAAGTCATTAGTTCCAACACAGAGCTCACAAGACAACGAAAATTTTTCTTGTCTGTTTCAATCCACGGATAATTTTCCTGAGTGGAAACTAGACTTTACGTGTGTACTCAAAATTATGTGGTGGCATGCAAGTTCTATACGCGAGCGTGGTACAGTGGTGTGGCAAACTTAGGCGCCTGGGATGAGGCAGACAATGCATGAAAAACTCTCGATATATTAACATTTTCTAGAAAAATTGAACCTATATGATTACACATTTGCTGTAACGTAGCTATATTAAAATACCTACGTAATTTCACTAATGTGTTCTTTTTCTCGCCATGTTCACGATACGCAAAATTCACCTGAAAAAAGTACAAATAACATTAGAAAGGAATTGAATTATTAAAAACATGGCACAAAAATCAAAATCATACCAAGCTGGCACAGCTAATTTCGTTTCATATTACTTACTTCCCAGCTTTGAAGATCAGCAGTAACGTCGCATGTTTTATTACCACAAATAAACTGCCCTGCCAAACATAAAGGAAACATACCAAATAAAAAAACCTAGGGCTAATTGTATACGAAGGGCCGGACAGCGATATTCACCAGAAAGTGATTTTTCAACCGTTGCTAAAATATTTAAAAAGCTATAAAACTACCGATATGCACATCGCAATTAAGGTTAATAAAAAGAAACACTAGGTTAATCAACGGATAATTTTAGAATTAAAGCTTTTAAAAAATCACTACCTGATGGATAGCGTTCTCCAGTTCTCGTACAACTAGCCGCAGTAATTTACACAAATTGTTACATAAACGTTTAGAAAACATTTAACACTTTATATTTACTGGCAGGAAGGAAAATAGTATGTTTTGTGATCCCCAAACCGTTGATGTTTCCCGAGGCGAAGCCAAGTTCGAATCATATAATTTTAATTTATACGATTGTTTTCGGAACTTGTCACTCACTATAATTTTTCTCAGTAAAACCAGAGAAGCGAAGCCTACCTAACCTAAAGCTACTTCACACAATCATATAATTATTGAAGAAATTTCAATTCGACTATTTTGAATATGATGTGATACAAACCTTTCCCAGAAACGACCTCTTTCTCAACTCTCCACCTCAGAGCCACCTAAATATGTGTGTTCGAAAAGGTTTGTGGAGATCACAGTTTGCATTAAAAGAGTATCCATATAAGAGGGGTATCCATACTGTAGAGGGGTAACCATATTGGAGATTATGGTGTTGTGTGTAAGGAGAGGTTCAACAGTATTTTTACATACTAAATACGACTACTTTCTCTCACTAGCAACTGCAGTTGAACGATGTATTTACTCATTTAAATTAGATTAGTATTATACCTTATTTTCTTTATATCGACTTAAATCAGAAATGCAATACTCCTTGAAAAGTTTATCGTAATACTTCTTCGCAAGCCGTTTTTCCCTGAAAAAAGATTATAGTGGTCAGTAGATGAGTAGCAGGTCATACTGGAACTTCTATGAACAGACAGTCTGTAGAATGTATAAATCTCCAGGGATTGAATGCAAACCACCAACACACATATACTCAAAAATCTAGCAAACCGCCAAGCCCAACAACGAACAGCAAGATCCGCTACCAAACTATCTGTTATATGGAGATTCACTGCAGAGTGCTGTATAAATTATATTATATTATATTGTTTTACAACAACTATTTCGGTACCATGAACTGTCGACATCGTCCTCATCAGACCAAATAAATCTATAAAAGAATTTCAATATGATAGTCCTAATCACAATATTGTGAATATGGATTATTTTTCATTTGTTTTTGTGTACCAAATATGGATCTTCACCAGGGTAAAAATGTTGAAATGCATGATCGATCCAACTTGAAGTTTGTTATTTCTTTGTATACCTGTGCTGTTCACGAAGAACATCGTAATCTGTCTTGTCTCGTGAACTGAAAAGATAAATTAAAGAATAAAATAGAAATGTTTGTAAATTACTTATCCAAATTTTATCCAAAAAACAAAGTATTAAAAATTTAAAATGTAGCTAAGTGGGATGAAAAAAAGAGACTTTTTAAATGTTACAAATCTGTTGGAAATATAGCTTATGACTTTCTGATATATACAGTACATATACAAGAAAAAAGTGTATACATAAAGCACCTACTGTACATACAGCCATTAATTTACCACCAATTCATTTTTATACCTGTCTCTTTTAAAATCTTCCATTGATCCACCATAATATTTTAGGTAGTTATTGATATATAACTTGTGTCGAGAATACTGAATAAAGTCAAGGTCATATTTAATGCAGAAGTATAAAATGTGTCTTTGAGTATTTAGTATGCAAGTAATGTGCCAATCATTGTTACTTGCAGCTAAGCTAGGTATCAATAGAACAAGATTAGGATTAGGGATAAAACGAAAGCCAGGTTAAGTTAAGATTGGAATTGCAAGGATTAGGAATAGTTTAACGGTACTGTATGGGACAGTGGAAGAGTACTTTAAAGACATGTCCTACAGAGGATACGGCATCCAGTGAAAGAAGATGAAATCTGTGATTCTTTGCTTCCTCTCTAAAGAAACATAGACAATGTACAGTAATTAATAATTATAGTATATATTCTATCAGTAGGTTTGTTCAGAATTAACATGGCAACACATGTTTTTAAATGTAGACAATTCATCAGATAACTATCTTTTTGCCAATAATGGAGGTTCATCCAGACAGAGTCCTGCATGGCCTCAAAATTTGGTGAAATTGTGCAAAAAATGGAGTGAGTCAAGCCCTATATATATTTCTATCAGTATAAAAACATTTTTGCCCTGATGCTTGGAGGGGGAGCAGGCTACAAAAAAACTATACCTGTCATATTCTTGTGATATTATCTGTTTTGAAGGCAACCCAAATGTTCTGTTGGGTCGTCTGTCAACACCTGATAATTGATCATCTCTCCATGTTCTGCAGAAATTAAATAAAACTACAGTGGTCACCTTCGCTACTGAGCATCCTTCTCATGATGCTCTGCACCTCTGGTGTGACCAATGAGGAATCTTAATAATGTTAACAAGGTTCAGAGCACTGATGATATGAACCGGGGGTGTGGGTGTGCTAGGAGTGTGGATGCAAATTTCTACTCTCACTTTTCAATATTTTTAAATGTTCACTAGTATTTTTGGTTTGTGGACCACACCACATATTCATATTATTGTAAAGCTTTTAATCTGCAAGCATGGATCTTCCTGGGGATCATTGAAGCTTTACAACTATAAATAAGCATATATGCGGTGTTTTCTAGAAACCAAAACAATTATATTGTTGGCGTATTATATAAACATACAAAGAACCAAATAATTTATCGTATTCAGTCTAGTGGCAATTGCTCCACGTTTGTTGACATATTAGGGGCCGTCAACAAATAGATTCTGTACACGTACCAATTGTGGATTTGTTCCAAGATTGCTTCAACCCCCCCCCCCATCACTGACCAATCCAACAATTTTTTGTCCTGATTATTTTGTACTTGTGGATTCAAGGCTAACCCCCTCCCCCATCGTGGAACTGTGATCGGTGGACGAAATCTATTTGTTGACGGCCCCTTACCTCTTTCTCTCATTTTCATCAGCTTCACTGAATTCAGACGTATATCCCCCAGCAGCACCATGCCTAACCTGAAATATACATAATTGTGATTAAATTGTGTTTAGCCTCCAGGCAAAAACTAGTTTGGGCAAGCAAGGGTACTTTACAGTTTAATACCATACCGCAAACATGTGATGTGTATTTGGACAATTGGACGGCTTCTTATTCAGTATTTTAAAGTATATTTTAATGGAGAATGTGCACACTGTATTGAATGATATGGTAAAAATATTGGATATGGTAAAAATATTCACCTATACTGCATTAGACAAAGGACATAGTACAGGGACACTAGGAACTTTTTTGCAGTTTATATCTTATTTTATATATACACTGTCAGGTGTCAAAGTCTTATCCTCGTTTGACCTCAAATTTGGACACCTAGCCATTATTTTCATTTGCAATCACTCATATTATTTAATTCTCTATAATACAACGGTAGGTATTAGATTCTACAAGAAAAACACTTTAAAACATTCACCTCTTTTTCAAACGCTCCTCTGTCCGACGCCATGTTTAAAAAATGCTTCCATTTTAATCACAAAAATTCCCTATTCTTGATTTCCTTCCAGAGCTCTGCTTCCACAGATTTCCTTCAGGGGCCAGTTGTATCAAGCCCGTTTAGCTTAAACGGTGGTTAAGCTGAAAATAGAAAGCAAGTCTATAGATCCATTCAACAACCAAACTAAAAGTTTTGAACCTTAATAGAATGATATTGTTTGTAACTACATATTCAGTGCAGAATATTTAAGCTAACTGATTCACGAGAGATATAAGAGTGTTATTTAATTTTGACTTATCCACCGTTTAAGCTAAACGTGCTTGATACAACCGGCCCCTGTACTTCAAAGAGGGTGGGATAGGGGGGTATGGTCACGTTTCACAACGAAAAAAAAGCCGTTTCACGATTCACGAGAGGACCTTTCAGGAACCTTGTCCTCACCGCCAGGAACATTGTCCTCACCGCCAGGAACCTTGTCCTCACCGCCAGGAACCTTGTCCTCACCGCCAGGAACCTTGTCCTCACCGCCAGGAACCTTGTCCTCACTGTCAGGAACCTCGCGAAAGGCCTCCGAAG